GCACCTACATGAGGTTGTTGTGAGGATCAAAGGAAATAATATCTTCCATTTCTGTAAGGTTGCTTGGATATTAAGAAGATTGCTGTTTGGAATGAGAGTGATTGATAGGTTACTTCCCTGAACTATGCATCTATTCAGAAATCTTTCCATTACTTACATAGTTAACTTATATAAAAATGAGAAAAGTTAGATGTAGTTTGCCAGAAAATTATTGTCCAACATAGGTCTTACTATTTGTGACACCATTTTTTTTTTTGCAAAGATACTGGAGTGGTTTTCCATTTCCTTCTCCAGCTCATTTTACAGATGAGAAAATTGAGGCAAGCAGGGTTAAATTTGCCCAGGGTCACACAGCTAGTAAGTGAGGCCAGATTTGAACTCAGGAAGATGAGTCTTGCTGACTCCAGGCCCAGTACACTATCCACTTTGCCATCTCCTTGCACTTTGCACATATAAATAAGGGTAGGTCTAAATCTACATGTGCATGCATGCGTGCCCCTGTCCCCACCCTCACCCCCTTACACACAGACGAGTTCTACTCTGTATAGACTAGTGTCGACAGCATGGAAGAAGAAAGCACACTCATGAATGACAACCTAATTAAAAACCTGTGCCTTGACGATGGGTGTCAGAAGAAAGTACAAGTGTTGACACCTGTCAGAAATGCTGCAGAAGGAGCCCTGCATTTGTTAGGTTAGCTCTCTAAGGTCTTTTCCAATTCTCAAATGTTATGATTAAATGGCCTGTGCAGCAAAGTTCACCTATGGATTTGTAAAATTCTGGACCTCTGGAGATTAGCACATAGTAGCATTTACTGACAGATAATAATGACCAAGATCAAAGCAAACGACCTTAGACAGGAGAAACAGATGGCCAGGTTGACAATAGAAGTACACTGTGAGTCCTAATTAATAATTTGCTAATTCATCCTCCCTGTTGGACAATACTTCTGACACATCCATGTGTAAACATATAAATTAATTAATTTATGCACTAGAACATATAGCATTGTTCTTATAGAATATTTTCATGGAACCCGTAATTTCTAAATTGTTTATGTCCTGCCAGACATCCACAGACTTGGAAAAGAAAATGAGTCTGAATATCTGTAAATATTTAAGGACCTTGATGGATAATTGTTGTATTAGTTGAAAAAAAATTAGGCCAAATCAAACCATTCTTAGTTCAAGGTCCCTGCCAAAATAGAGGAGTGATCCAGATTTGGCCTTAGGTCCATAGTTTTGACAACCTCTGCTGTAAATGATTCCTTCATTCAACTAATGTTTATTAAGCCCCATGTTGCCGTAAAAAGTGTGCTAGATTTGAAATTGAGAGAAATGGGTTCAAATCCCAGCTCTGCTACTTACTACCTATGTGTATGTGACCTTGGAAAATTCACATACGTTCCCTGGGCCTCAGTTTCTTCCACTGTGAAAAAAGGCAGGGAAGGGGAGAATGTGTACTAGAAGACCTTTGATGTCCCTCTTATGTTATGTGCAGATCACTACTCTGGGTCTTGTTGTTGTTGCTATAAAGGTGAACCACTGTCCTCAGTGTTCAGGTAATTAAGTGAAAAGATTTTCAAAGTGTTATTGACTAATTTTGTATGATGGGATCCCATTCAAATTCTTCAGGATAGAGAAGGTGTAAAGAGGACTGGATTTGAATCAAACAGTATATTTAAGTGGTAGTTTGGTTCTTTACTACCTCTGTGACATTGCTAAAATGAGAGGGTTTCATCAAATCATCTTTATGATCCTTTCCTTCTATTTTTGTTTTGTTTCTGTTTTGCTACAATTATGTTTTCAAAACCATAAATGCTGGTGAAAATTCAAATTTCAGTAACCAATAATTCCATCTCACAAACAAATACTTACCCTGTACAAAGAGTCAAACTCTTGGCTCATTCTTTCATTCAACATATGATTGAAACAGGTAATTTATGTTTCACATCCTTGCCTTGGTTTATTTTATCTTTTTTCCTTTAGCCTGTGTGGAAGATTTAAGCTCACTATATAAAATGAGTATGTGGCTGGTGTTATGTTTGGTTAACAGAAGTGTTTTAACTAGAGCACTCTGACTGGGGGTTTTCCTCAGAGTCCTGGAGTTTTGAAGGGTAGGCTTCTCCTGATAGTCCTCCTGGCCTCGCCTTCTGATCCTACTTCCGTCGTGCAGGTTCCTGTCTTTACTTGAGCTGGCCCCAGGATTTGTCCACATATGGCAACATACCCATCTCCTGGTTCTCCTCCTCATCTTGGATCTCCTTTATGTTCTGGGGCTCAAGAGAGATGACCACCACTAAAACTTCATCCAGGGCTACGCTGCCTGCTACTTCTCCCCTTTCTACCTTTTCCAGGGGTATAGGGCATAAGGGCATTTGAGATGGATGGGCTTCCAATAGAATGGACTGCCCTGTTCCTAATATAACTGTATCAAAACACTAGTGGTTAACATGAAGGCCACCTGCATATGCAGCTAGATGGTACAGTAACAGAGAGGTGGACTTGGAATCAGGCAGATTTCAGTCTTATTTAATTTCTTTCAGCCTCAGTTTCCTCATTTGTAAAATGAGTATCCAAATAGCACCTACCTGCTGTAATTGTGAAGATAAAATGAGATCTTTTTTGTGAAGTACTTTGTAAAATTTAAAATGGAATATAAATCCCAGCTGTATAAATAGGTAGGCTGGTGAAACCTGGAGGTGGTGAAGCTCCTGACCTAGCCCATTCTTGCTACTCTATATCCCCCTCTTTTCTTGTTAACAACTCTAGTCATAAGTCAAAAGCTGCAACAATTTATCTTTGAAGTCTTTGTGTTGATCCCTTGAAGGTAACTGCAGTGAACGAGCTTGAAATCTCTCTTCTCTTAAAAATTGTGTGGACACTTTAAAAAATATTATATTCCAGCATCTTAATCCTATTATTAAGTGAGTAGCACCAGTGTCTATATGAACTATTCTCTTTTTGTCTCCTCCCTCAAATGGAATGGTTTTTTTATTTATGTTAACAATGACATAAAATCTAATTTGAAAAAGAAAACTCTATTGAAGTGAGACACCGTTGCCCTGATTCCCTCCAATAGCTCTCAGGCAGAGGTCAAAGATTAGTTTCTCAGAAGGGCAACCCCCTTCTACTAGAAGAATACCATGGGCCAGATTATCTTGGGAAAACCATCCACTGTATAAAGACAGTGAGCTAAAAAAGGCATTCTTGAGGGTTGTGTGGATATGTGTCTGAGTCTATGAGCATATGTGTGTGTGTGTGTGTGTATATATATATATATATATATATATATATATATATATATATTATATATATATTACATAATACATATATTATATATAATATATATATATACTTGTGCATATGTGTGTGTATGTATGTCATAGATGACCATATACATTGTGTTTTATATCCATGAATCCCAATCCTTGATTTGGTGTTGTAGATGGCCTTGATGGTGATGCAAAGTAAGAATTTCATTCAAGTGTAAACAGTGTTTTAAAAAAAACAAAAACAAAAACATAGCAATACAATTATCCCTTCCACATTGTAACTTCCCCTATTGCAGTTTTGATACATTATGGAAGTTTTCCCATATATTATGGGATTTGTTTTTGGAGTTTTGTGGAAGCCACAGAAAGAACATGAAGGTCAGCAGATGACACAGAGCCCATGAACAAATACTTAACTCAAACTTTGCAATGTTACTGTAAACACCATATAAAAGAAAAAGAAAAAAAAAATTAGACTTCTTCTCTAGTACAAAGTGAGGGCCAGAAACTTTTACGTAGATTTTCCAAATCACAGGGGCATCACGCACCTAACCCCCGCAATGTGGAAAGCACAACTGCATATCAAACAGGCTGGAAGATGTTATGAAAACTAATGGTATAAGGGAAGCTGTTGAGATGAAAACCTTCAAGGAATCCTCTAGCAGCTTTCTTCTTTCATGTGGTGGACAAGTAATGTGAGAATCAATCTAAAGAAGAATATTCAGCAAAATATTTAGCTAACCAGAGACCACTTAACACATTCATAAATTAGGATTCTGTTTTCATATCTACCACAAAGGTTAAGCATCTGTTTGGTCTAGGTAAGATTAAGGCTGTCAGCAACAATAAGTAATAATAATAATTTATGCTTGTAATTTATAGCAGTACACCTGCCATTTCCATTACCAGCATATAAGAATGTTGCAGATTATAAAAATGTCTTTGAATGTGCTTATTTCATGTTTTAAACGTATGTAATCTTGGGAGGAGGTAGAAGGGAGTCAAGACCTGTGATTTCTTTAGTTCAGGGAGCTTCCCAGTGAAGAAACCCTCTAAGTTTAAGAAACTCAGCAACTTAGTCTTAGAGGATTGTTTAGTCCACTGTGAGGGTAAGTGACTTACCTTAGATCACACAGACAGTATGTGTCAGAAGGCTGACTTGAACCCAGGCAATTCTGACATGAAAGCTGGCTCTGGCCATTTGGCCATCCTACCTCTAATAGTTTATGTTAGACATATAAATAAAATCCTAATTCATAACATTTCTGAATACATCTTCCCTAACACTAATTAGTTAGTTTCTGAACTTTAAGAGTCAATGTAATATGGCGAGAAACACAACAAACTGGATGTTAGGAAAACTTGGTTCTGCAATCTAAGCCTCAGCCATATCTACCTATATGACATGAAGCAAATAGCTTTACTTTTTGGCCTCAGTTTTCTCAACTGCAAAAATAAGAGGGCTGGAGAAAATGGTCTCTAAGGTTCCTCCCCATCCTAAAATGCTATGATTCTATAGCTTTCTGTTAAATATTTAGTAACTTACAAACTTATAGCACAGGTACTTCTTAAAAGTGTAGTTACACACACAAACACACACATATTCCCACATACATGTACATGTACAATGCATACATATTATAATGTACCAGAAAACTTTGTAAGTCTGACCTTTTTTTTTTTTGAATGAGAAATTCTTACATTGATCTTTTTTTTTTTCCTACAGTGCAAGTCCCAGGGCCAGTTGAAAACCTGCAAGCTATATCTACCTCACCTACCTCAATTCTTATTTCCTGGGAACCCCCTGCCTATGCAAATGGTCCAGTCCAAGGTTACAGATTGTTCTGTACTGAGGCTTCTACTGGAAAAGAACAGGTAGGCAAGAAAATGCATCATAACTCTGCATGGGCTGATGTGCTTGTGCTGGAAAAATGTGTAAGAAAATCTTCCAGAAGCTTCATACAGTTGAGCAGAATGTTCAGTCCAAGTGAGCGAATTAAGAGCATTGTTGATTAATTTTAAAATACTTGTTATTGGAAGTTTGAGTAATTTAATAGGATTCTAGATTGCAGCAGTTACTTGGAACACAAGGAGCTGGGGAGGTAAATGGGCATTAGAATGAAGTCAATATATGAGATGCCAATTTTCTTATACGTGGTAACACATAGTTGTTGCTGTTGGCTTCACACAGGAAGTGGGGAATTATAAAATCTTGGTGTAGATCTAGGCCCTCTAAAGATCATTTTGATAAAAAATGAAAATACATGTGTGTATAATACACATTTAGAGATGTATATACATAATTCTATGGGAGATGTGTACATATCTTGAAAGGCAGAGTGGTGTAGGAAATAAGAGTAATTATGTAAGCATCTATATGTTAGCAGTTTGAGGTACTGGGAAATAATAATAAAAGTTAACATTTATATAGCATCTTGGAATATAGAAATATGAACACAGAGGTCACTGTCTTTATCAGTGTCAGCCTCCTGAAAGCTAGTTCCATTTCTAATTATTTTCTATGTGAAGGGGTCTATAAAATTAAGAGCCATTTCCCAATAGATATGTGGACAAAGTATAAACACAGTTTTCAGATTAAGAAACATAATGATTCACAACCAGCTGAAAATCACTCAAAATCATTAACAATTATAGAAATAAAAATTAAAGTATCTTTAATATATTATCCTCATACTCCTAAAATTCACAAAAGAGTAAAAGGTGGGGAAAATAGTGTAGGTGGAACTGTGGGAGAAAAAGAAAAGCCTAATTCAGAGCTGGGAGAGCAGTGACTTGTTCCAGCCATCTTAGAAAACAATTAAGAATTTTTCAAGAAAAGTTAAAACCCCTGTTTGTCTAATCTTTCCTTCTTATTCTTCTTTGCTGAATCATAATCCTTGTCATGCCTATTAACCATACGTGTTTGCTGAGACTCTCCTCCTCAGCCTTCTCTTTTTTGTTTGTTTGTTTGTTTTCAGTCTCTAACCTGGAGATCTTATCAGGTCCCCTGGATTTAATTATCAGATCTGTATAGATGATGTACAAATCTCTGTCTCTAGCTCTTATCTTTCTCCTGATTTTCAATCCCATGGTACCAATTGGATGTCTTAAATTTAACAAGAATAAAACAGAATTCATTATCTTTCCTCCAGAACCTCCCTGCTTTCAAACGTCCCTATTACTGTCAAATACAATACTATCCTCCAGTCACCCAGGCCTGCAAACTCAATGATATCCTTGACTCCTCAAATGATTCCTCAAATGTACCTTGCGTGTATAAAATCTATTGCCAAATCTTGTCATTTCTACTGTCACATCTCTTGTCTATGCCCCTGCTCTCCCACTCTCATAGTCGTCACCCTAGGTAAGACCCTCATCACTTTTCTGCTAGACTATACCAACAGCTTTCCAACTGGTCTTCCTGCCTCAAGTCTTGGCCCATTTGAATTCACCTTCTATACCCAATTGCTAAGGTGACTTTTCTAAATTTAGATCTGACCATTTTGTCTCACTATTTAACAAACTCCATTAACTCCCTATTGCTTCCAGAATCAAATATAAATCCTCTTTTAAAGCTCATAAAAAACTTCTGCCCTTTAAAGCTCTTCCTAACCTGGTCATTTAATACCTTTCCTAGATTCTTACACTTCAGTCTCCTCTACACATTATATAATCCAGCTTCTTGCACATGATTCATTCATCTCTGTGACTTCTCAGTCACTGTCCCACGTGCCTGAAATGTTCCTGACGTGTCTTCCTATTTCTACATCCTAACTTCCTTGGATTTCTTCAAGACTGCTCAGATCTCACCTTTAAGAAATCCCCCCATTTGCTAATGCCTTCCCTCCTCTGACTATTTCACATCAACTCTGTATAAATCTTGTACATACCTAGTTATATGCATGTTCTCTCTCTCATTAGAATCAAGGTCCTTGAGGGCAGAAGTGTTTTTGTTTTGTTTTTCACCTCTATTTGTATGCCCACTGCATGGCACAGTGCCTGGCACATAGTAAGTGCTCAGTAAAAGCTTGTTGATTGACTGTTGTCCTCTACCCACATGGCTTTGTTGTAGCTCAACTAAAGATGGTCCTTGAAGCTTTATGTATATGATATCCTCACAACTGGAAATTTTAGTCACTTAAACCAAATACCTAACTCACTGAGTTTTTTTTAAGAATTAAATTATTATAAAACCTAATTTTCCAGTTTACTAAAGCTAATCACATCAGGTATAACACTTCATTTTAATATTGCCCATTGGTAATTGAAACTTCCTATGATATGTTACATGATTTATTGCTTCCTCAAGTAGGACCTAGATAACTCAGAGTCATCATGACAAACATGTACAATTTTGAAATGGAGTTATCTGCCACTAACGAGCTACTTGGATGTCCATCCCAAATTGCTTTAAAATGGACTTTGAAGTAGTGCCACTTATTTACTAAGGAAGGTCAGTGATACAATGGAATAAGTGCTACAGTTAGAATTAGGAAGACCTATGCTTAAATCCTAACTAAGATATTTACTAGCCTGGGCATGTGATTTAACTTCTCTGTGTCTCAGTTTCTTCATCTGTAAAATGAAGGCATTAGAATCAATGGCCTTTAAAAGGCTCTTGGTGACCTTCAATGCCTCAGCCATGACAGGAAAACAATACTGCCCTCCCTCCATCATAGAATTCTGAATATTTCAAACAAAAATGTTGTATAATGTCATTCAATATTGTGTGCTCACTGTCTGTTTATATTTAAGTAATAAATAAAAGTGGAATCTTATTTTTTTTACCTTAAGGTCTAATTCCTTCTGTAGTACAGAAACAGATCTCTTCCCATTGAGCTAGTAATATGCTTTCTGGTCTTGAGTCAATTTATGGAGGGAAAAAAAAAACACTAAATGTATTGTGTAGTGTAAAGTAAATTGGAACTTAATGACTGTAAAAATAGTATAGTGATACATTAGCAGGAGACTGCAGAGGATGGTGCTTTAGTCAGGAAGTCTATGTTACAAGTTACCTTTTACAGCTACTCAAATAAGGATTTAAGCTGGGTAGTTTGGTGAGCAAAAGTCTAATATCTAATCCATTTATTCCACAGAATGACTGCCATATCTGCTTTAATGTTCCTCTTAATAACAATTTCTGCCTTTTTTTATCTTCCCAGAATATAGAGGTTGATGGACTGTCTTACAAGCTAGAAGGGTTGAAAAGATTTACCGAGTATACCCTTCGATTTCTGGCTTATAATCGATATGGGCCAGGGGTATCCACCGATGATCTCACAGTTGTGACACTTTCTGATGGTAAGTCAGAAGTAAGAAAACCATATGTTTTAAAATGTTAATATAAAAGAAATAAACTTACATAATTATGGTAGAACCATTTATAACAAATCTTATTTAAACTCTTTACTGTCTAGTGGATAGAATATTGAAATTCAAGTCAGGAAGACTTGGGTTCAAATACTACCTCTGGCATTCATTAGCTGTGTGACCCTGGACAAGTCATGATATCTCTAAGCCTCAGTTTCGTCATGTATAAAATGAGATATTTGGATGAGTTGGCCTCTGAGTTCCCTTCTACCTCTAAATCTTAAAATTAAATTAAAAGAAGATTGGGCTCTCTTCAACCATATTTCCATTAAATGTTAGAATTAACTTAACAGTCTGTAATGCTTAAGCTTATCCCTAATGAAGAGATGAAAAAATGTAGGAAAGACATTATAATGGACTGCTCTATGGCTCCATCTAATTTTCCCATGATTCCCCAAACAAAAACTCCTGTCCTTGGCCACAACTTCCCCTGTTTGTGTTATCTACCTCGTATTGTAAGCTGCTAGAATACATGAACTGTTTCACTTTTTTTGTGGTTGTACTAACAGACCCCAGAATCATAGATGGTGCATATAATATAGTTGCTTAATAAATACTTTTTTTTATTCATTCATTCATTTACTGTCAGACTCAGTGAATGGGTTCTTTCATTTTGCTGAAATATTTTTTCCTCTTCTTTTGTATCATTTGTTACTTTGTTGTAGGGATGGTTCACTGGATAGGAGACAGGGAAGAAGAGTATGTAATTGGAAATGAAGGAGATATTAAAATGCATAAAAATCTAAAAGTTTAAAATCATAAGCTGAGACCATAGTGCATTATTTCAGTGTTTGCTGAGATCTCAAGTTCATTTTTTCCCTTATCTAAAAAAAAAGCCTCAGAAATATGACAAAAGAATAGTGTTCTTGTATATTAATTTGATTCAGCATGCTTGGTTTATTCCTTTTTATTTATTAGTTATTTTTTATAAAGGGTGAAGAAAGAAAGGTGGTAAAAAAGAGAAATCTCCCAGCCAATCCCTGGCTAAGTTTATCTCTTCAATTAGGAATGATAAGAATCCATGGGAAATACCTATAGATTTAGAAGAGTTAGATTTGGGAAACAAAATGGAATAGGTTAAGGTATATCAAGTATGTTTACAGATTACATAGGGCCAGAGAGATTCAACAAAGGGTGATTTCCTTAAATCCTACAAATGAGAAAAAGAGGGAAATTGATCTGTTTTTTTTTTTATATAAATAGAAGTTAGTGTTCAAAGAAAGAAAAGAACTAGAGACAAGAGAATATTTAAAAATTTAATGTGAAACCAAAGTAGAGGAACATAGTTTAAGGTGTGAGGAGATGAGGAGAAAAAAGTTGATCCAGAGATGCTATTGTAAAGATTCTAAAAACCTCATTACTTCCTAAAGTGGCTATGCTCTATGTGATGCTATGACTTATTGATCCATTTAGTTAAAAAAATGAGGAAGAAGACATACTGACTTCTTGTTGCCTTACTAGCCTGTATTTCTTAAACCGGGGCATATGGATACGGGTAGACAGGCTTTCATAGCTTGTCAATAGAGCAAGGGAAGGGACATGTATCATTAAACAAAGTGAAAAGATGCCATGTGAAGTAAAGCATGTTATTGAAATGGATGATAGACTCATGTTCCCTGAACCCCCTTTCATGATACTATTTGCATTGCAGATTCTGGCTCATTTGCAGCTCTAACTTTAAAAAATTATTATTTCATATTTGACACCTCTTCAATATTATTTTTAAAGTAACTCTTATGCCCATCCATCTAATTCTCTTATCATTTGCTGTACAGAGTGGATCTTGGCAGAATAAATTACTTCACACTTATAATTATAAAAACAAAAGAAAACAAGTGAAAATGAATATTTTACATAATTTATGTAGATTTAATTCATACTCTGAACTGTAGTACTGTGGCCCTGTTCTCCACTTTGGTTTTAAATGTCATAAGTGAGAAAGATAGATTATTTCTCATTAGCCAAAAAATTATCCTTTGGAAGTATTTCAACTCTTTAGGAATAGCTAGGATGTCACTGAAGAAAAAAGCTTTCAGAATCAGATACCACCCCATACTAGCAAACATGGATGCAAACTGCTTTTATTACGGAAGAAGTGCTGGCCACACAAGTCTTAGGCTATACCTAGTCTATAGACATGAGTTTGGGCTGAATTAATTCACAACCGATCAGTAACCCAAAACTGAACAAAAATAAGAGGTTGAGGGCAGCTAGGTGGCACAGTGGATAGAGTACCATGCCTGGAATCAGGAAGACTCCTCTTTCTAAGTTCAAATCTGGCCTCAGGCACATACTAACGGATTGACCTGGGGCAAGTCATGTGACACCGTTTGCCTCAGTTTTCTCATCTGTAAAATGAGCTGGAGAAGGAAATAGAAAACTACCTGAGTATTTTTGCCAAGAAAACCCCAAATGGGTTCACAAAGAATCAGACAGAATTGAAAATTACTGAATAACAACATTTAAGCACAGCCACAGGGCCTTTTCTTTGTGAGCCTCTGCTATCTGATTGCAGCTATGATTCTATATAATTCTATAATTCTATATAATAATATAGTATATATAATATATAATATAGTATACAATATATAATATAGTATATAATAATATAATTCTATATAATAAAACTATAATTCTAATAGTATCTTTGTTCTTATAACATCTTGTTTCTTTCTCCTTCTAATGTATAACTCTGGAAAAAGAAATTTGAGTGAACTTTGGCAGGTTTTGAGAAGAGTCTACTGAAAAACAGTATGTTTGTCCAATTGAATTCTCTACAGCAGAATCTTTCTTTCTACTCTGATAGTGTGCTTTTAAAAGTTTCTACCCAGTTAAACTTTCATTGCTGCTTTAATTCTTTTGTGATTCTTGTAGGTAAAAATGTCTTCTTATAATTAACTCTTCAATATCCTTGGTCTCCTAAGCCAACAGTGACCTAATATGTCTGGTTTCTACTGGTCTGCTCTAGACTGAGAAGCCAATGTTTATAGTAAATCATGTTCAAGATTGACTTCAAAGATATTCAGAGAAGTTACCCATCAATTAATAATTATGAAAGACAGCGCTATAGTTTCATCTAAGAGCAACAAAATAAACAAACACAGTCTTTCAGAGCAGGATAAATAAAGGAGGCTACCTTGAGATTCAGTTAGTGAGAGTGTCTGCAGACTTGGAAGTATCTTGAGATGCTAATGTGTCCAATGACACTCATATTTTCTTTAACAAAGACACTAAGTATAGAACCTCAAATACTCCCAAACATGCCACCTGGGTGTATATGACACCAAGTTCATGTTTAGGGAATGACTTAAAATCCCTATGAGCACCAGTATTTGTTTCTTAATCTGAGAATTAGATCCCCCTTCAAAACAACAAAGCATCCAATCAGAACACATTTCAAACTATTCTGTTCTGCCATATTCAGGGGAGTTTCCAGACCAGACTTCTTTAATGAAACATTTCGTAAATGATGAATAACTTGACATGCTGAAGAGCAAAGCATTGAACCAGGTCCTTCCCCTCTGCCTTTCTGCAGTTAAAGCTGACATTTAAAGAGTGCTATTAAAGATAAAGACAGATAGGTATTGAGATCCCCCTCCCTCTCAAACACGCACATACATACGTGCACACATATGCATTCACACAATATGGCTAATTCTACCATCTTTCATCTATTTTAACTTCTTTAAATCAAGGTAGACAAATGGTAGGGAGAATTTAATTTGAAATATGTTCTAATTCAGGTGTGGGGAACCTGCAGCCTCAAGGCCACATGTGGGCCTGACGTCCTCAAGTGTGGCCCTTTGACTGAGTCCAAGTTTTACAGAACACATCCCCTTAATGAAAGGATTTGTCCTGTAAAACTTGGACTCAGTCAAAAGGCCACACACAAGGATCTAGAAGGTCACATGTGGCCTCAAGGCCACAGGCCCACCCCGGAATTGAATATACTTTCATCTTATATTCAAAGATAGCATACTGCTAGCTTCTATAGATTAAAAAAAGTAGATTAAGTGCTTGCCCTTTAGAAGCTGGATGATAATCACGCAGGGAAAACACATTGGCTTGTTATGGTTTTTAATGCCTTTATCATGCTGTTATATTTGCATTTTATTCCTTGAAGCAAAATATTCCCAAGCCTTTTGAGATCTGGAAGTATAAAGAGAAATCATACTTGGCCCTCTAGATTCTCAACCTTCCGCAGATGAGAAGCTAATAGATTTTTATAAGCATGATTATAAACTTTAACCACAAGCTAAGTGGCACTCAAGGCCTATATAGGGAACATTATGACCTCAAAAATTTGATTACCCACTAGAACTTGAGTGCCTTTAATAAAGTTATGCCTTTAATATTTATTTCAGTGTCAACAAGTGGTTATAAAGGAATAAGTAAAGAATTAATAGTTAGATATAATAAGAAATCAATATGAGTGAAAGTCAGGTCAAATATAGATTAACTGATAAGGTTAGGTTATGTTCAAGAAGAAAAGTAGAGTAGTATAGAGAGGCAGCTGATTGGCATTGTGGGCAAAATGCAGACTAAGTCAGGAAGACCTGAGTTCAGACACTAAATAAGCTATGTGACTGTGGACAAATAACTTTTCCAGCCTGAGTTTCCTCATTTGTAAAATGGGGATGATAATAACACCTAATTCACAAATTGCTTTGTTGTAAATATGCATTTATAATACATACATGCACATGTATACATATACATCTATACATGTATAAACACATATGTGTATATATGTGTGTGTTTATACATGTATGTAGTATTTATGTATATGTTTTGCAAACCCCAAAGTTCCATATAAATTCTGGTTATTATTATTGGCTTTGTTGTTGGTGGAAATCAAAATATTGATAATTTACATGTTTTGGAAATACATTTTTATCATACAACCTCTTCTCACCCTCTTACTAAATTTAAAGGCATGACATAGTGTCATAAGGAGCTGCTCTTGAACCCAGGAACATCTGAGTTGAAGTTCTGCCCCTTGAAGCCTACTGACTCTGTGATTCTGACAAGTCCCATACCCCCTAAATGCTCTAGATAACTCTCAAAATTAGAAATGTCAGGGAAGTTATCAACCTGCTTTGCTTGATGATTCCCTATGAATTATTGGATCAAGATCCTATCCTATCTAGCAAATTGGGAAGAGATAGTGAAGTTTAAATTGGAATATTCTCATATTTCTATTTTGTGGTACTAATATTAGAATTTTAATGTAATATTTATAGTTAGTAAAAGGCTTCTGGATCACATTTCCATTTGTTCTAATAAATTCTGTGTCCTTTTTGAAAAGTAGAAGTCATTTCTAACCCCAAATTATTTTATTTTAAACAAGCAATTAGAAGCCAGATTATTAGAATTAGAAGTAGAAACCAGGACTACAAGAAGATGCTGGGCACAATAAAGTCACTGGTATACAAAGACAAAAATGAAAAATATCACTGCCCTCAAGAAGCTTGCATTCTATGTTTCTATCTGCAAACATTCTCCCTACAAAAGTCATTTGTGAGCAGAACTACATGATGGTTTTTAGAAACTACTAGTATTTTTAAACATTTTCTTTCTTCTTTTTTTGTACTTAGAGATATCAAGTATTATTAATAAGCTCTTTATGAAACTGTATAAGTTTATGAGAATAGATGATGGTAAGACTTCAACTTCATTTGAGCTGTAATTTTAAGCTGTATGTTTTCAGGCTCTGTCCACAAAATGACATCATAATTTAATCAATCCTGACAGTTAACTAGATACTCTCCAAAAAAGCTTTTTCTTTCTTTCTTTTTTTTTTGTTGGGGGGGTTGTTGTTAAACATCTCCATATTTGTAAGATTCGCTTTAAGTCCTTACTGGATAGCTCCACATCTACAGAGAACTTGATCGACTTCGTTGATGACTAGTCTGTTTCCCTGTTCCTGGGTGTAGAGCTACATTTGTAGGTACAACTCCCATCCCAGTCCCATAATGCTGCATTGTCAAAGATGCATTGTTGTTGTTCAGTCATTTCAGTCCTGCATGATTCTTCATGACCCCACTTGGGGTTTTCTTGGCAAAGATACTGGAGTGGTATGTCATTCCTTGTCATTTAACTCATTTAACAGATGAGGATACTGAGGGAAACAAGATTAAGTGACTTGTCCTGGGTCATACAGATAAGATGCATAGATAAGTATTATTGTTAGAGTTCTGATAGCCACAAAAAGCACTGTCTGGAAGATGGGGTGGTGAGGGGAGGGGAAATGTGGAATGACAAAAGGAATAATGATGGTGTCACACTTTTCCCAACTCAGCAAGAACATTCCCAGAGAGGAAGGGTAGAATTAAAATGTGTAATAGAAACAATGGAGCTTGTTCAAACATATTCGAAGTTTAGAATGTCAAAGTAGTTTTTGTTTTAAAAAAAAAATTATATTTAAGGATAGATAGGAGGGGAATTGAAAAGTTCTTGAATTTTGATTAAATTAGAATGTTAATCATTTATAATAATGAATTGTACTCTTTTGAAAAATCATATTTTCCCTTTTGTCTTAGTATCATGTGAGTTACAGAAAAGTGTCAAGAATGACAGTTGGTAGTGACAGACTAAATGTATTTTTCAAAGAGCTGCTGTGTTGCTATAAGCCAGTGTGTGTCTCTGGCATCCTGCCTTACATACACACAACTAAAAATATGACATGAGTGGCATTTCTAAGTAGTTTCCTTGTTCTATTTTTGAGAGAAAATATATTGCACTGAATGGATTGTACACTAGGGATGGGGTGAACATGTGTTTTGCAAAACGTAGAATACTCTCTAATTTAGTTTTTACCCACTTTTTCAAGTATAAAGACCCTTTGTAGTATCAAAAAAAAAATGAGATCTGCCATTTAGGGAGGTATCAGCTCTTCATTTTAGAACTTGAAGTGAAAAACAGGAGTTGTGAACAATATCAAAAGAAACTAATCTAAAATGTCTAAAAAGTAACTGACAAAATTATGTAAAGTCTAATAATTTGCTATTTAGCTACTACTAAAAAGATATGAGATTATATGTTTGCTTATGTATTTCATGGTTTGCAATATGACTCTAATGAAATTATGGTTTAATGTTTCAGACATTGACTTATTAGCTATTGAAAAACAATAGGTTTCTATTACATACACTTCCTCTGGTTCCCTAAGGTAGTAGCATTACTAAAAAAAGAATATTGGAGAAAAAATAAATAAGAATGTAAAAGGAGGTGAGTAAAGAAAGGAGGGATTACAAGTTCTTTAAAAGAAGAGAAAAAAAAGATAAATTGCCCCCTGAAAAATTGAGAAGTTGGCTATAAATATGCTACTAAAACCCAGCATATCTGTCTGGCACACTTCCTTAATTACAAACCACTAAAATATGGGCTGTGCTTCTTAGAATTTCTCCTTTCCCCATTTTAGGAGAGAAAAAGGAATTGTATTAACAGGATTTAGCAACACGGATGACCATTAGAATGAAATATTCCATCATAAAAGCATGCAGATCTTGAGGTGCTCAGCATCTTAAATGAAGCAAAGAAATCTCCCAAATGTTTTCATTTCTTTCCATTGGAAGATTATCAGCTGAAAGCTGTAATTAAATGGCAGTATTTGGTGTCACATTAGGCACATTCTTGATGAACTGTTTCAGGGACTCCCTAGATGGATTACTGGTACTCTAAAAGGGAGAAGAAATGAACAGATGCAGCTACTTTTTATTTCTTCAGGGGACTTTGAAGTGCCACCTGAATTAAGTGCATAATTATAATTAGATTACAAATGCATCCCTGTCTTTCCAAAGGATTTTGTGCTTTTTTTTTTGACTTTGCCAGTAATTATTCTCTACTTGTTTTTTGTTTCTTTGGTTTTTTTTTTCTTTCAGTACCCAGTGCTGCCCCTCAGAACATATCCTTGGAAGTGGTTAATTCAAGGGTAAGTCTACCAAAAGCCTATTCACATTTTCATTCCCAGTTCATTTACAAGTGCATTCACCAGCTATAGAAGTAACACTTTTTTGGGGGTCATAATAAAGGAGTCCTTCAATTTATCAATATTCACCTTATTGGATAAAGTTTTTTTTTTCCATTTGAAAAAAAATAGTAGAAAACTGCTATTTTAGCCAACATCCCTCATTTCTTTAAGGTTGAATGAATTGAACAACAAATGTGTAGCTACTCTTTCTTTTCTAGTAAAGTGACTTTGCTTAGCATGAATTATAAAGTGTCAAAGTTAAAATGAATTCTATCTATTCCGGTTGTTCATGTGAATTTTGTACTAATGGAGTCCTAGAAACAGCTGTGGTGTATATAAATGCATAAGTACCCAGTGTATGTGTGAAGGGGAGGGGAAGTTGAATGTGTTTTTAGTGGTCAATCTATTGACTCCAAATTCCCAATGTTCTATATTTTAATACATCAAATATTTAAATAATGCCTGTTTTTTAAATTTCATTTTAATTTATTTTTAAGTAAATAACACTTATTTTTTCCAATTGCATGTAAAGATGGTTTTCAACATTCATTTTTTATAAGACATTAAGTTCCAATTTTTTTTTCCCTCTCTGCTATTTCCCCTCCCCTCGTTGACAAGTAATCTGAAATAGGTTATACATGTGCAAAATGGTAAACATATTTCCACATTAACCGTGTGGTGAAAGAAGAAACAGAACAAAAAGAAAAAGCCATTTAAAATTAGTGAAAATAGTATGCTTCGATCTGCATTCAAACTCCATAGTTCTTTCTCTGGATGCAGATGACATTTTCCATTGTTAATCTTTTGGAATTGTCTTGGATCATTGTGTTGCTAAGAGCTAAGTCAGTCATAGTTGATCATCATACAGTGTTGTTACTGTGTACAGTGTTCTCCTGGTTCTGCTCACTTCACTTAGCATCAGCTTACGTAAGTCTTTCCAGGTTTTTCTGAAGTCCACCTGCTCATTTTTTCTCATAGCACAATAGTATTCCATTACATTCATATACCACAACTTATTCAGCCATTCCCTAAATGATGAGCATTCCCTCAATTTCCAATTTTTTCCCACCCAAAAAAGAGCTGCCATATTTTTGTATGTTTAGGTCCTTTTCCCTTTTTCATAATTTCTTTGGGATATAGACCTATTAGTGGTATCATTGGATCAAAGGGTATGCACAGTTTGATTGCCCTTCGTGCATAGTTCCAGATTGCTGTCCAGAATGATTAGATCAGTTCACAACTCCACCAGCAATGAATTAGTATATAAGGCCTTTTTTTTTTTTAAGACAAGTATGCATTTACTCAGGATTACTGCCCTGAGCAAAGCACTGTAGAAGTGAGGGGAAAATATGAAACTATCTAAAGGATTGTTTTAATTCAATTCTAAAGAAAATAAATTTTTATAAATTTATTTATAAGTAAATAAATTTAATAAATAAATTTTAATTAAATTCTTAGAATAACTAAGGCCATCATGACCAAAAGAATTTAACTCCATAAAGCTTTAAAACGGTAGTTTGAAAAAGACTTATAGGCTTTGTGTTCTAATCCTTTCTTGTTTTTGAAGAATGAGGCCCCAAAATGGCAAATGACCTGCAATAAAAATGACAGAGCTAAAATGAGAGTTCAGGTCTTCTGACTCCCACACTACTACTAGTAAATAGAGTTATTATCACTGTACACAAATTCATTCATACTGATTACATAGGGATGAAACAATCTATATATTATATAATATTTGTATGTATGTATATGTGTATTATATACATATAAAGAGGAATTAACCCCATTAAATCACAAATGTTTAAAGTAGGTATTATTATCTTTCTTCTAGTGCATGGCTTATTCTGAGACATTGAGTTTCCTTTGGTAGTTCCTACAGTCTAGTGGTAGTAATATTTATAAAGTTATTTAGCTAACACTAAATTAATCAATCCACAAAACTTTATTAAATACCCTTTATGTACCAGACACTATCCTCAGTATAAAAAGAAAACAATCTTTGATCTCAAGGAGCTTACATTATACTGGGAGACATGCAGCATTTTCACAGGGATTAAATACAGTTTACATCCCAAAAGGAATTATCTAGTGATTGGTGTAGCAGTGGAGCAGGTAAAAAACAGCAACCAGGGAAATCAGGAAAATCTTTTTTTTCTTTTTCTTTCTTTTTTTTTTTTTAGCCAAAGACAAGGTTTATTAGAACATTGTCATATTGGGCAGACTCTTAAGGAGTCTGAACCTGGGTAAGCAGTGGATAGATTATAAGAATCTGAGCATCTTCATGGAAACAAGATGGACCTTATATATAGAACGACTGGGGGTGGGATCCAGGAGTGGCCAAGTAGTCCATGAGCCAAGGGTGGGGAGTGTCCTGGGGCCATAGGGAGGCAAGACAATGGAGGGGAGATTGGGTGTAGCCACAAAGAAAGGCCAGTTGATGGGATTATAGCCTCAGGGGAACCCCAGAGATTTGGCCATGTGGCAAAGTCCAGGGTTTTTCCTTTCAGCGGCCCAGATCCCAACCCCATCATTCCACCCCTCAAACAAATGGGACCTAAATTTTTTGGAGTAAGGGATGAAGGTCTTGGTTTCTGAGACTGCTTATTGCTGGCAAGGGGCATAGAGCTGTTCCTGCCTTGACGGGGTCCCAAAGAGGAGGTTGGCTGGAACTGAGCATAGGCTGGCTGCATCCAGGGAATGAAGTGAGGACATTGGCTGGTACTTGCTGTTTGCTACCAACTGTAAGTGAATGGCCCATAGTCTGGAAGACATAAATCTGACAGAAAAAAACTGGAGGGCCCAGATATAAAGTGGGGACTAGATTTAGAGCCCAACTTTGAGAGGATAAAACATCCTTAGCTGTTTGGATTCAGATAGTTCAGTTTTCCAACCTTGCAGTATCAAATCCACTTCATAGCCAGACTCAGGAATAGCCAAATGGGTAACATTCTCTTTCAAAGGAACATAATGGGGAAACTGAGCCAGGAGGATCCCATCTTAGACTAGGCTAAAATTGTCCTCTTGTCTTTTACCAATGCTGACTTCCCACCAGTATCACCTTCTGAGTAGCTTGTGGCATTTCTCTCAGATTAATTGATTATTGATGGATTATGACACATTAGACAACTCAAAATAAAATCCTATGAGCTTTTGCCTCAAACAGCAAGTTTTACTAATCACAGCTTAGGAAAAATTTTTCCAGGATTTCCATCTCAAACTTAAATTTGTCCTGTTTTAAAAAGCCAATCATTAGAGATTTCTGTATACTTGCAAATTCTCAGCAAGCCATACATAACCCAAACAAGCTTTTTGTCTAGTTTACACATTAAAACAATAACCAACAATAGATAAATTATTTTAGCAGTAACCAAATTATGAAAAGTTGCTTGACATAAATGATACAGAAAGTTCACCAATTTTAAACTTGAAACAAACCAATCAGGTGGATTCAGTTTTGTTAAATGCACTTCCAAATTACTTTACACAGAGAATCAACCTCTCATCATTAGCAGCTAAAACTACAAATTTAAAAGAGCATGTTTACCCAAGTTCAGAGGCCAGCTTCTTTACCTTGATCAGGATGTGCTGAACTTGGGTGATGCTTCCAGGCAAAGGTTGTCCCAGAACCCAAGGCCATTGCCAGGGGGACCCGTGTAGTAGCTGCTGCCCCTCCTCACTCCTTCCATTCACAGGTGGGGGAGGGAGAAATCAAAAGTGAGGGGTAAAGGGTAAAACTTTCTTCTCCTATGAGAGGGGTTAACAGATACCCATTTGACTCAAGGGAAGGAAGTGACCAGGTTGTACAGCTGTTTCAAAACTCCTTAATGATCAATCACAAAATTGCCAGAATCTGCCAAGATATTTTTAGCTGTTCTATCTTTCCCTGTAACCTCTATGAAGGAGGATTCAGAGGTACAGAGGGAAGGGAGTAAGTAAGTCTCAGGTAACCAAAAAGCAACTGTAGTTTTCCCCAATTCCCTAGCACCGAGGGAATTAACAGAATTGAACACACATTTCCTGATAGGGCGTCCACTCTTGTCCTCTATACTGCGAAGGTGTACCCAGGGCCATGACCTTGAACCAATCCAGTAGACTGAGAGCCTGAGAGCATCAGGCCGAGTGAGAGACAGCCTCATAACCGTCTGCCAGAAAAGCACCTCCAAGCCTTGGTGCTTGAAGAGTGACCCCAACTGCAGAGCAAGAAAGGAGGGGAGAGGGGAGGCTTACATACCTTCCATTCTTGGCTGGAGAAGAACTTGGGGTTAGACAGTTTCCCCATACAGGCCACCAAAATGATGCAGTTTAGGGGCTCAGGGGTGCTGGAACCCCAAAATCACAACATGCAGGTCCTGTCCAAAAGAATTCAACCCAAGCCTTCTTTCAGCCAAAGATGAGGTTTATTAGAACATTGTCATATTGGGCAGACTCTTAAGGAGTCTGAACATGGGTAAGCAGGAGCTAGTTTATAAGAATCTGAGCCAGGAAAATCTTAAAAAAAAAAATCTGATAGTTGACCTGAGTCTTAAAAGAAATTAGGGGTTCCCAGAGAGAGTGGTAAGGAAAGAATGTATTATAGACAAGATGGGGGAAGGGGAGGGAACAGCCTGTACAAAGGTAGGAAAAAAAATAGAATTCAACCCTGAGGCTCTACAAGAAACTGAATCTGAATCATAGGGATTCTGAGTACATTCATAGGACAGTAGATTGTCCTACCAAGGAGTGTTTTGGTAAATGTTTAGCAACTGGCTCTCCAGAAAATAAATAAATAAGTAAATATATAAATGAATGAATGAATGAATGAATGAATGAATGAATAAACAAATAATACATAAATAATGTCCAACATAGTTTTGTGTTTTATTTGCATGATTTATTAATTTAATTTCCATTATTGACATTTTCTTCATCACTTTCTTACATCTATACAATGAACAAAATGATCAGTTCAACCCTGATTT